ATTAAATTTAAATAATATTACTTAAAAATAATATATTATGGCTACAACATTATTTTTAACTATACAATCCAAATATGCATGCTTAGATAAACTTAACAATTTGGCCGCACATACTAACATATCAATCAGATGAACATGGCCAAATGACATCATAATTTTTATGAACAGCTTTCTAAATAAAGCTGGGACATCACATTTGTGCACTATTTCTCTTACACCACTATGTGCCACAATTATAGTAATTGAATATTTAATAAACTCTGTGAATCTTTTAATTTAAAGATTTATGTTGAGGTGAGGTGGTATACAAAAATGGTATAAGAAAATAGTGTCCGTAACATTGCTATAATTTTTTTAGTGGGATGTGAGAGCATTGTAAAGTCATTCCAAATTCTCAAGACCGCCAGCTCATGGGCTTTTGTGTAAGCGAATTTGCCTGGGTTTTTGGGCAAGGTCAACATCCCAGAATAAGGTATAATTCGGTGAAGGAAACATCACCAAGAAAGCACCGCCCCCGATCCCTATATCATTTGTAAATTATATAGCAATTTATTTAGTTCAAGCCACTAAAGTCTTCATCCATTGTTGGTATTTTTTTCCTTGAAAAATTTCCTCTCCCAACAAGAAAGTAACATCACATGTAAAAGGAAGTAGACGAGCAAGCAGAACAAATAGGAAGCAAGTAATGGAAAGCTGTTCACTATTGATAAAATAAAAGGCTGTTGAACCGCCAGTAATCAGGCCTTTGAACCACCAATAACCAGGTAGTGAGGCAAAATCATTAACGTTCACCCTGATTTGAATCAATTCTTTATGGATTACAGCTTGAGCTTTCTTCTTCGTGAACAGTTGAACAAGAAGATATGGTAAATCCAATTTCTGGAATATGTAGTCAGTGTTTTGTCATCTTACTCAACTCTACTTTAGTTGTAATTTTTTTTAAAGTAATACTATTTGAACCTAATGTATTGATCTAATTTGTTAATCTAATTCGTTATAAACATTAGATTGACAGTGAATCTCATTAAATATTAAAACTTGATGTTAATTTAACAATTACAATAAAATTATATCATTAAATCGACAAATTAAACCTAATTTTTAAATTCTAATAGCGTTTCTCTATTTTTTAATTACTAGCTAGTCAATTTGTGGTTAGTCAAGAACTAATTTGAATGCGATGTGATGTTTTGAGCAGGAAGTCATATTATGAGGAGTTGATTTGAAGTCTTATAAGTCTCTTGAAAATGTCATGTAAGCAATAAGAAAATGATAGCAATTTTTTCTTTTTTCTTTTTTTGCAGAAGTAGAGAGTGCTATTAATTAGTAAGAGAACCAACCTCAATGTAGCCAAGCCTTTCGGGATCCAACTCTTCCATGATCAAAGCTGCATATTCCTCCGCTTGTTCCTTTAATCTTGATAACTTATTTGCAGAAGCACTTAACATTATAATCTATTAATTCAGTCCAAAGAAAAAAAAAAAAGTTAAAATCATTTTTTTAGCACAGGTAACAGAAATCAGAAACACATTATATCAGCAAATTGACTTAAAAGCCCCCACCAACTCCACTGAAAATGACTCTTTATAAATTAGGAATCTGGTGTTAATTATCACATCAAAATCTTAATATTTCACACTGAGCCTTATCTCTTGGGATCAGACTTTTCGATCTTTAGCCTTTGATGTTAAACGAAAGATTGGACTTGTGATGAGCAGCAATTGTTATTGTTATTAGTTTGTTACAGGTTGTCTAGATTTATACCGACTATTATCTCAAGTTTAGCGATTAATCACCGTGACTTGAACTAGTGTAGAAGATATCTTCAAAGAAACAAGAATGACTAACATTTAAATAGTGTGAGAAATAATTGAACTTAAAACCTCCGAGTTACCAAAAATTAAATGCAATATTAAGAATTTAAAGATGAAACATGTCTTATTCTGGGATTTCATAATTGGAATATTATAAGATGCGTAAGAATATGGGAAACATAAGACATCAAGAAAACTAAAAGATTATGAAACGAAATATATATAATGTGGAGTGGTTGGATTTGGAATTTTTCTGATTTAGGATCACCGAACCACGCCTAACTTTGATTATTTAACCAAAACAGAGTCTGTAGGTGAGGTCTGGCAACAACCACTATGCAGTATCTTACTATAGTATTGAATGTGCATATATATTTCTAATGTCACCGGAAAAAGGTCAGCGGGACATAACATATTAAATATTGCACCGGAATATTAATCATCGGAATCTGACAGACTGTTCTCTTCTCTCACTAAACTGTGATTAATTTTGTGATTTACATAATTTGAGGACGCATTTACGTACCTCTTTAACCTCCTCTTCTGTGATTCGGCCGTCTTCATTCTTATCCACCCTGCACGATTGAAGATGAAGATGCATTAAAATAATTAATGCAATCATTAGCGTCCAAAATACAATTATGACCTTGATTAAAAGCTATCTATATCTATAAAATAAGGTGTAG